TTTCCAGACTTAATGTAATCTCTGTACTCCTCAGACAACAGCAGGCTGTTATTTTTGTAGTCTTTCTCAAGGAACTAACAGATGCCAAGCCTCCTGACTAGGGCAGGAGTGTCCTACCCTTGGGGAGTTACTGCTACCCACTAACCCTTCCAATTCTGAGCTGGAGAAAGTGTGTTCAAAAGGCAGCTGACGAGTGCTACCCGAGCTTTGGTTTAAAAAACCAAAAACTAAAAAACCACAACTGGCAGTGAGTGTTGTCTGAGGTTTCCTTGGATTTGTGGATTAGGGTCTTTAGTGAAATATCTTCTAGTGGAAAGATAAAGTCCCTATCCTGGCCTTATTCAGCTCCACAATGTGGAGTGTTGGCTGGGTCCCAGGTGTACAGAGCCCAGTTTGCACCTACAGAGGTCTCATGAGGGTCAGCAGCAGAGTGGCTGCACAGGGCATGATCCTGCAAAATGCTGAGCACTCTGGCCCTGATCCAGTAAAGCACTTAGCGCGTACTTAAATTTAAGTTTATGAACAGTCCCTTTGCATTCAGAGAGATGTCTTACATTCTTGAACTTAAGCACATGCTTAAGTTCCTTGTAGGATTGGAACCTGTGACAGGATCCCTGGGGTGCAGCCTGGGACTGTGGGGCCGCTGTGCCCCCTGAACTCTCTCCAGCCTGGGCTGTCTCTCACAATGCCTTGCTAGTGACCAGCAGCAAACCCCCTGGTGCTGTGATCACTCAGCACAACTGCATGTGGAGACCCAACACCCAGCTAGATTACATGAATGCTCCCAGAGCTACTCATGAATCACACAGAGAAAGGCACCAGAGCCAAATCCTCCCAGCACTGTACCTCAGGAATATACCGTCTTGCACCGCTCAAGATGAGCAATGCAGATTTATTAATTGGTTCACCATTTCATCAGTGAAAAGTGGACATACACCAGCTTTTGCAAACCTAAGCACATTTGCCACACGCTTTAGGCAAACTCACCGGTAAAGATAAACAGTAAAAGGTTATTGACTACAAAATATTTTAAGTGATAGGCAAAAGTCAGATGCACTTTTTCCCAGCAACTTCCCCCCATAACTGCTCTCTCTGTCTCACCAGCGTGGGGGAAAACATCCCCCTCTCTGTCAGTTGGGTCATTTGAGTTCTCACAAACCACCACCTGGCAATTTCGTGGTCTAAACTTCTCTGTTATCACAAGCATTGGAGCTGCATCTTGATTTAAAGAGACAGTTACTTTCCAAAACCTCTTCAGAAATAGCATCCTGAAAAACTGGGACCTGGGTTGAGGTACCCTTCGCCACCCCTTTCTCTGTCCCTGAGAAATCAGCTGTGTGACTGCTCCCCTCCAAGAGGCCAGTTACACAGTTCCTTCTCAAAACCTGGGTCACAGGCTGATTGCCTGGGTGCACGGTTGCTGACCCAGCCATTCGGTCCTGGGCATCCTCTCCAAGTGACCAGTAAGGAGACATTACTGTGCTTCCATCATTTTTTCCCCAGTTTCCTTCTCTGGGCCCCCCCCTCTAAGACGCATTTCTCTTTGCTCCCTAGGAAGGTGTCTGTTCCTTGTTCATCTGCAAAACCCAGCTAACAACTGGGATACTTTCCTTCACCACTGACAACACCTCTCCTGCCCCTGCTCCTGAGGGCATGTTGCCTTCTGCTGGAAAGGAGCTAATCTCAGCCCCTCCCATATTTGGAAGCACCCTGCTTCCCTGTGTTACTGAGTTAAAGGAATCCTCACCCACCTCAGTGGTTTCTGAGATTCCCTCCCCTTTCTCTGGGCTCTCCTCTGGGACACATTTCTCTGTGCCCCCTAGAGCGGGGTCTGTCTCTGGTTCATCTGCAACTTGCTGGTAGCTAACAACCTGGATAGTTCTCTCCCTGGCAGGCCTTATACCCCCTTCCCTTCCTGATGGGGTGTTGCCTCCAGCAGGAGTTGGTCTCAATCACCCTCCCACCTGGAAGCACATGGCTTTCCCCTGCTGCAGAAGAATTAAGGAGACTCTCCTATTCTCTCAGCAGTTCCTGAGACCTTACCCTTTCCCTCAGAGGTCCCAGCATAAAACTCCCTTCTGCTGCAAGCAAATACTTTAACCTGAGCTACACAGAAAAAATCATTACCAAGAAGCAGGTCAACTAGGAGGTGTTCCATTCCCCCCCGCCCCCCAGTCAAAACACTTTCCAAGCCTTCCCACACCACCTGGATTTTTAGCTAGTGGTATGAGGAATCTGCTTTTGCCCACCCCCACAATCTCTGCCATTTGGCCAGGCAATATGCTGGCCTCTGGGACCACACTCTGCTTAACCAGTGAGATCTGGGGTCCTGTATCCCTCTGCCCCAAGCATTCCTTGCCATTAATTTGGACAGCCTTAACATGCTCCATATCTGGTTCTGCAGAGGCTAATCTCCTATCTACCAACTGATTCCGGGGGACAACTAATGAAATAACAGGGACAGGAGTGCGGTCCAAGGGTCAAAAGAAGGGAGCCTGATGGTTGTTGATGGGTTGATTGACACCCCACCTGGGTGCTGGCTATTTTCCTTGCTGTTGCTTCTGGAGCTAATATGTGGCCGAATCCCCAATTTACAGTATGTTTTAGTGACAACAATGCAACCTAATTCTCATAACTTCATATGGGTTAATGATATACATATATGGACAGAGAAATGACTTTCAGCAGATCGTAACCTTTCCCCTGATACCTTAAAAGGCATGCTTCACAATTGTATATAAATGAGGAATATGGGGGTTACAGGGTGCTCCCCCAAGGTACAGAATGTCACAGAACTAATGTTGCTAAACCCTGCCAATTCCCCCCCCCATCCCAGGACATCTGTCATACATAGTATCAGTCTTGGTGGTTGTGATGCTGGGAATGACCTTAGGGGAAGCGGTGCCACTTGATATTTGTTGTGGAGTGAGGAGGATTAGTCCAGATGAGTGATAGTCGCGTAGAGTTAATTACAGTATGGCCTAGTGTTAGAGCTGGCCAAAAATTTTCCTGTGGAACAGAACTTCACCAGATAATGCTGGTTTGCCAAACCCAAAATGTTTCACAAGAACAGTTTGGGTTTGAACTCTAGTCTAATCACAGGCAAGTTTATGTTGGAAAGCTGCCTAGTGAGCTCAGGGTCTCTTGCAGCTTCCAGGGTCTGTGGCTTTGGGGCAGCTCCATGGCGCAGAGCTCCAGGACCAGGAATCCAACATTCACTGCTCTGAGACAACCCTGCTGTGCCAGGGATTCTAGGCTCACTGCCTCAGAGCTGGGAGCCTGAAAGTCCTGGGAACCCCAGCTCTAACCAACACTTGGCTCACGACTCAGCAGTGGGGAGCCTGGAAACCCAGAGAGCCCCACCTCTCACGTTTGGTTTCTTATCTCTCCCCTCCCCCCGCCCCCATTGCAAGTTTCAGCCAAAAAGAAATTCAGTTTTCATTCTGAAATGGAACAAAAACTTTTTTGGAGCTTCCACTGGCATGGAATTGAGAGGGGTGTGTGTGTGTGTGTGTGTGTCACTCTCTCTCCTGAAGTCATCCCATTTGCAATGCACTGGATCCACATTCTTCTTCCAAAGAGTAGGGTGCAGAGCCCCTATGCCTCACTTCTATACCAGGCCCGGTTGGCTTCTTGGGCTTGATTAGCCCAGTGCAAACTTGCTTACAAGGCCACTTATGGTCCTTTGTTTGACCCTGTAAGCTTTAGGATTTAGCTCTAGACAAGGGACTAGGATTTGCTTTTTTCCCTTCAATTCAGGGTGCAATGTTTGTTCTGAACTTGAAAGTCTAGGTCCTAACGTTAATCCCCAAACACTGGGAAAAGTCCATGAATGCAAGCGTCTTACATTGCCTGCATTACTTTGTCTGCGTAAAAGCTCCATTTGATATCTTTACAGGTTTTGCAATGCAGCTAAAATATAAAAATGAATTAAGCTAAACAGATACAACACTGTATCCTCCACAGCAGTTAGTCAATATCTGATTAACTATAATTACATGAGTTTATCATGATAGAAACTGTTTGAGTAATTTCAATAAAACTCCAAATTAAAAGATTTAGTGTATATCCACTATCCACTATTTTCAGGTTTATCTTTGACTTCTTATCAAGAACCATACTGTGTATTATGTATTGTAATAATGCTGCTTTTTTATAAGGCTGGAAATGTAATGGAATTTCAGAACTAAACTTCTAATATCTGATAACTTTAATGAAAGGCACCAAATGATGCCAATAACATAAACGATGACAATAACATGTTGCAGAAGAATCTTATCACTCTGCTTCCCCTGTCCCAGCGGTAAAACTTTGACATATGAAATGTGGGACTAATGACCAGTTACAAATGTAGGAATTCAGGAAATATAAATGCAAAAGCTAATCTTGTAGGAGAAATACATGTAGTATTAAACTCTAACGTTCGCTTTCACATCAAAATTCAGTTCTTAGTTCTAATGCCATTTTTTAACTCTATCATCTACATACAGTATGCAGAGATGAACTGGCAATCCAAATCTTGTGTCTCAGTGCCCTTAGCTTCATGGAAATTGGGATTCATATCCAGAGCTGAACGTTGCAGCTTGAATCTGTCTCCATCCATGGTTTGTTTAACTATAAAACACCAGATATCTTGATGATGGGCATGTTAAAGATAAATAGACTGAGGAGAGAAAAAAGTGTTGCATAAGGTTCTCACATGACATATTATGGCGAAAGCCTTGAATTTTAGAACTGTGACACTAGCAGATTGCTTTTTAGGAACTCACTAAGGGTTTTGGTAATGGCCACCATTTTGGCTGACACCTAGAATTGAACCAGGGGCCTCCTGAGCTAAAAGTACGTATCTTTACATGTACCATCTCTAAAGTACCCATGTAACAGACTCTGCGCCACAGAAAGGGATGTGCAACGTGTACTGAGTAGCACTGACCCCGAGTGCTCTGCTTTATTACTATGTATTTTTAGCAAACTAATTTTGCCTTTTCTTTCAAATCTAGGACTAGAGAAGACGAGAGACTGAATTATGTTTCTGAGGGATCTCTGGGTTTCTGCTCATTGGGCATGGCAGGGCATGAGGAATATCTTGCTTTTACTTGCGCTCTCAATGTTACAAACAACTGATTTGGAAGCCAGGAAAGATCATCAATTTGTCTGGAAAACAGGTAGGAATCAACATATTCTTATTTATTCACTTTCTAGTTCCTATGATTTAAGAAGTCTGTTACCTATTCCTACTCTGACTTAGCACTATAAGAAATTCCCAAAGAAAAATGTCCTAATAGTGTTTTCATGTAGCTTTATTTATTTATGTGTGTGTGCGTGTGTGTATACACAAATATTTCCCCCTCTACTTTAGTTTATTCCATCTTTTTGTTCACTGAAATGCTGTACCCTGCAGTGACACTTGGTATAGTCTGGGTTTTCATAATGCTATCACTTGAACAGAGGCAGCTAATAGAGTTTTGGAGGGTATAGCCTGGACTTTGTCCTGGGAGGCAGTGGCACTTAGTGAGTGGTGCTTTTGCTCCATCTGTGGGCTCTCTGTGAACAGGCTGCATAGCTGGGCCATGAGGCCTTGGGTAAGCAGTTGAGACATATCTGTCTGTTGGTGCCTTGGTAAAGGCCATGAGGCTCGGAGCTTTGATCAGATCCAGTGTTTGAAGTCTTTGAGTGGTTCATTGTTTCCTGCCGGTGGTGGATGGAGCTGAGCTAAACAGGGAGACTTGATATAAAAAGCATCTTGCTGGGTGAATTTTAGAGCCACAAACAGATGCCGCTAATAGAGTTGCGGAGGTAGTTGAGAGCAGGAGTGTGAAAAGCTTTGCTTCCAGGTTCGGCTCCTACATGCAGTTTCAAGATGGCCAGCGATGGAACTATGGGTGTCCTGCAATGGATGTGCCTTGTTTCCTTTCCTGCCTGAAGCCAGAAGGGACTTACTACATATGAAGTGAAAGCTGGTGCTGGAGAAACTTCTTGGATTGAACAGGCAAATAGAGACACTAATTGAGAACCAGAGAAGTTGAGGAGTTCCTAGACAGCCCAGTTCAGGAAACATCAAGTACACCAGGTTCAAGGAAGAAAGAAGCTGGCCACCAAGGAGTTGGGGAGACAGGAAGTCAGAAAGGAGGACTGGCCATTCATAACTATCAGAGGCAAGAGGTCACATCTGCAATTGTCACAATTGGAGACAGAGGAGGGTGGGTGGACTGTGGCTACTAGAGAGAAGAGGACCAGGAGGAATTCCATACAGCTAAAAGCTTCAAGTCAGTGATCTCCAACCTTTTTACACACAAGCTCACTTTTTGAATTTAAGATCAACCCAGGATCCCAGGATCATACCCTTCCCCTTCCCCAGGGCCCCGCCCCACTCACTTCATTCCACCCTCCCTTCGTCGCTCACTCTCCTCCACCTTCACTCACTTTTACCGGGCTGAGGCAGGGAGTTGGTGTTTGGGAAGGGGTGTAGGCTCTGGGTTGGAGCCGAGGAGTGTGGGAGAGGGCTTCGGACTGAGCCTGGGGCAAGGGGTTGGGGTGCAGGAGTGAGGGGGTGCAAGCTCTGGGAGAAAGTTTGGGTGCAGGGGTCAGATGGTCACACTGCACCTAATCTCACAGAAGCCAGTGGACATTTCATGAATTTTACGTTTTATTAATTTCATTTGTTGTTTATGGATCCAGAATCCTTCAGGGATTGTCCCTAATCAGTGTAACATTCTCAACTATGGGGTGTGCATTGGCTGAGCCTCAGGCATGGGGTTGGGGTGAAGGAGTGAGGGGTACAAGCTCTGGAAGGGAGTTTGGTGCAGGAGGGGGCTCAGAGCTGGTGCAGAGTGTTGGGGTGCAGGTGGGGGGGTGGGCTCTGAGAGGGAGTTTGGGTGAAGGAGGGGGCTCGGGCTGGAGCAGGGGGTTGGGAAGTGTGTAGGAGGTGTAAGGTGTAGGCTCCGGCTGGGAGGCGCTTACTGCAGACGGCTCCTGGACGATGGCGCAGTGGCGCTCAGGCAGGCTGCCTGCCTGCCATGGCCCCAGGCTGCTCCTGGAAGCAGCTGGGCTGCTGGCATGTCTCTACAGCCCCTGGGGGAAAGGGGAGAAGTGGGTCTCTGTGCGCTGCTCGCTCCTGGCCAAAGGGAACTGCAGGGCTGTTGCTGGGGGTGGGGACAGTGTGTGAAGCTGCAGCCCCCACGCAGGGGCCGCAGAGATGTGCCAGCAGCCAGCCGCTTCTGGGAGTGCTATGGGGCCATGGCAGGCAGGCAGGCTGTGCTGCCAGACTTTTAGTGGCCTCGAGATCACGATCAGCTGGCAGAGGCTCCAGGATCAACCACTGCTTCAAGTTGATACCAGGTCCTCAATGTTTAACCTGTGAAAGATACCTCTTAAGAACCAGGGGGTCTAAGGGAAGGGAAAGATATGAGACATGCCTGTGCATGGTAGCTAAGCCCAACCTCTTAGAATCAGTTTTGCCCATAAAGAGTTTCCTCAACTGTCCAAGGAAGTCTGTCCATCCTTGCTGGAGGTTCAACACTCAGAAAAATCAAAAGAAAATTCTGCAAAGGATAAACAGACAACAGGATGGTGTGCTGTATTCCCGGAATCAAGACACTAGACATCACTCACATGAGATTGGAGGAATTTCTGAAGTTAATGGGCAAGGATCCATTTATGGGCACTAATGACACTGCATCATGGGATATATCGCAGATAAGAGATAACTTCAGGGAACTCAGAAGCATGCTGAAGAAGAATGTACAAGCGATCTTCTCTGCTATCTTCCCGAGAGTGAAGGGAGACAGAAGATTCTAAAAATGAATCACTGGTTAGGTAAGTGGTATAGGATTTGGTTTTGTGGAACATTGGTCCACCCTCTTCTATGGGAAGAGGAGACTCAGTAGAAATGGAACCAATCTCCTCAAGAACAGGCTGGCTTGAGTAGTCAGGAGGGTATTAAACTAAAATAACACAATGGGAGGGTAAAAAGAGGGGAGATATGAGCACTCATTTAGTGCAGAATCAAGAAGTTGAGAACAAAATTAACAGAACCAAAGGATGTGAAGAGAAGAGATTCTTTAATTTCCTGTACACCAATGCTAGGAGTCTCCGTAGAAAACAAGAGGATTTGGCATTGCTCATTTGTGAGTATAAATTCAATCTAGTTGATATTACTGAAACATGATTCACACATTTGGAACGTCAATATAAATGGTTATCACCTATCTAGGAAGGACTGAGTGGTGAAAAGGGGAGGAGGTGTGGCACTCTGTCAAAAATGGCATTACCTGTTTCTGAGTCACTGATGACTTGGAAAAATATTTACTTTGAATGGTTATGGATGAGCCTTCTAACAGATAAAACAGAAAATGAGGTACTATTTGGTGTCTGCTACAGACCACCAAATCACAGTAGGAAACAGGATGACTGCTTCTTTATACACCTATTTATAATGCATGGTGGGGGGGAAGCTGTGTGATAATGGGGGACTTCAATTTCAATGACCTATATAGGAGATCTCGTATTGCCAGTAGTAAAACATCCTTGGATGTTTCTAAATATTGTAGATGACAATTTCCAAACTAAAAAACTAATTGCAACCAACACAGGGGAATTCTACCTGGTATAGACAAGTAATGTTGTGTGATGTGTTGGTTAGGTATCAC